ATAATTAGCTTAAGAGTAATTTTTATTCATAGGTCAAAATCAGTCATTCTATATATTATAATTATATTATAAATATATATTATAATTATCATTCTATATATTAATTATATTAGCATGAAATATTTATCAATAAGAAATCTAATGATGTCATATACTTACTTCATATACGTAAATCGTATAATTCGTTCAATCGATGTAGAAATTATAAAAATGATAAATTTTTATATCCTTATATAAATTATATAGGTAAGTAATATTTTTAAAAAATAGGTAAAGTAATATTTTTAAAAAAAAGTTTTTCTGCCATTATTTTTTATAATGTACACGTATATTTCGCATGCGCTGTGAAATGTGGAACAGAATGACGTAATCAAAGGTAAGATTGTCATCGTGGTCTAAAAATGAAAATATGATATATTTTATCAATATGATTATTCAGTTTACGTCTAAGGAAATTTATTCTGTATATATACTTTTATATTTTCTAAATACATGTAATAAATAATATTACAAAATGCTTGAATTTAAAAATTTGCAGCATAACCTTAATGTACTTTTTACGAAAAAAAATTATATAAAAGACATTTTGTTATTAATTAAGATGAAAGTATTAATATAATTTCCTGAGGAAATAAAGAAATCGCACATATTATATAAGTATAACAAGTAAACTTAAGTTGAGCTGATATTTATGAAATTGTATTTCATAATTATATAATCATTTCTTTCAACAGAAACGAACGTAACACACTTGCAGAAATAATAACAACAATAGTGCAGTTGTTCATCAGAAGAGGAAGAAATTTATAAGATGCAATCTGGTGAATGGCAAGAATAATATTTATTAAATGTTATTTTGTATGAATTATGTCTTTATTTATTGATTTATTTTTAAAGAAAAATTATGTCAAGAATACTGACTTTATGGAAAAGTTGGATCTCACAAAAGATAAAAGCAAACTAAAATACAGTGATTTAATATATATGAAACAAGCAGAAGAAGCAGCTATTCAGAGAGCATTCATATATAGACGAAGACGTAATAATTGTGCCATAGCAGGTTTTGCTTTAGCTGGTTTATCTATAGGAATTTATCTGTATACCATATATGCTGTAAGACAGGAAACTTTTCTAAACGATCTGAATGAACCTGAAATAATAATTGAAAAAAAGATTAATAAAGCTTAAAATAATTTGTATTTTTATCAAATAATATATTACTTCTACTTATTATCTAAATATAAATATAAAAAAAAACATGCCAACTTTAAGATTACCACCTTTACCAAATATAAGAGAAGTTTTAAAAATGTATCACTTGAGAGCCATGAAACAACTTTCTCAGAATTTTATCTTGAATGAAAATTTGACAGATAAAATAATAAAAAGAGCAGGAGTTCTCTCTGATTGTCATGTAATAGAAGTGGGTCCTGGTCCTGGTGGTTTAACTCGATCTATTATAAAACGTGAACCAGAAAAATTAATTGTTATAGAAAAAGATAAAAGATTTGAACCATCATTAGAAATGTTGGCAGATGCTTTTGCAGCTGTGAATGGTAAAATGGAAATCATTTTTGGTGATGTCATGACATTTCATATGGAAAATATTCTACCATCAACTGAAACAAAAACTTGTACAGATAAAAGTCCAAAAATTAAAATAATTGGTAATTTACCATTTAATGTATCAACACCTCTCATAATAAAATGGCTACGTGCAATTAGTGAAAAAACAGGTCCTTGGAAATTTGGAAGAACTAGAATGACATTAACATTTCAGAAAGAAGTTGCTGAACGCATAATAGCTGAACCACTAGATGCACAAAGATGTAGATTATCTGTGATGGCACAAGCTTGGACACGGCCAATATTACATTTTATTATACCTGGTATATTATTTAATTTTTGTTCTTAAATTTTATAATTCATAAAATATTTATTTTAAATCTATTTCTTTTTTCGCTAAAAATAGGTACAGCATTTCTTCCCAAGCCAGATGTTGATGTTGGCCTTGTAACATTTGTACCTTTAACTGTTCCACGAACGAAACATGAATTTCCAATTTTTGAGAAAGTAACACGACACATTTTTAGTTTTCGCCAAAAATACAGTATACGAGGTATTGAGTAAGTAAAATTTATATAAAACTATATTGATAAAAAATAGTAGAAAATAATTAACAAAATTACAAAATTCTAAAATGTTTATTTACATTTTAGAACATTATTTCCTGCAGAATATCGAACTGAATTGGGACAAATGATGTATAAACTTGCTGATTTGGATCCTCAAAAAAGACCAATGACACTTACAGTAGAAGATATTGATAGTCTTGTTAGTGCATATAAATATTTGTTAGAAAAATATCCAAATCTAAAGTTTTATGAGTATCGTACGTCTCGCCATATAGTATCATTATCTCAAACAAAGAATATAGAAGTTGTACAATGTATAAATTAAAATTTGAATAAAATTTCCATTTAAAATGTATAATGGATATTACATTATAAAATAACAGTTAACAACATTTTAATAACAGTTAAAATAAATCTATATTATATATATATATTTTAAATTGTGAAACATATAAAAGTTTAAAATTTTTAAAATATAGTTTTTATTTAATATAATTTTTTGCAAATATATTTGATGAAATTATCTAAAATTATTAATTTCTAAAAGATTCACTTCTGCAATTATTTAATTTCTATTTTAAAATATTAGTCTATTCGCCTTATTTCAAGTTTACATCTACAACCCGTTTTGAAGGAAACAGTTTGTAACATTTTACATGAAATACCCTGTATACGTATATGTATATGCAACTATCTAAGCATCACATTATTTTTTATTATTTCATATAATGGTTGTTTAAATATTGCGAAAATTGTTTATAAATTTTCAAAATGCAATAAATAATCCATAATTTTATAGTATAAACAAATATTTGGATAACTTTTTTTGTAATAGCAATGAATTTATGCAATTAATAAAGATAATAAAGACTTCTGCTTTATATTGTTAAAAATTAATGAGAATCTATACTATTTTTAATTAAAATTTTTATCTAAAATAAACATAAATAACAATATATATTGTTTGTTTCATGCGCACTTTTATTCACATCTTCATGAATGCAATAACAAAGAATTCGACTATATTTTTCATCGTAAAAAATTGTAAAACATAATTACATTAAAATACATTAATTTCAATTTCAAGTAACCTGCACGAGACCAGCTCTTTACATGTACTTTTTGTGTAAGTATATTGTTTGAAAATTTTTAAGTAATAATATACAAGATATTACATTTCGAGTAAATGTACGTATAATATATCGATACATATATTGTAAAGATACAGATAAATGAATACATTGAGTAAAAGGAAGAATTTGAACAAAATATTTAAATCACTCTTCTAAATCTAAATCTTCTAATTCTTCTTCTAAGCCTTCTAAATCTTCCTCTTTAAATAGATTTTCATTAATTGCTAATGCAGCTGCACCTTCACCAACAGTAACTGTCATAAAAATATAAGATTAATTTTAAAACATTATTTTAAAAAAATGAATATATTTTTTATATATTTTATATATTTTTTATATATTTTACCTGTGGAACTTTCATTATTTATATCTTTATTATTTTTCAATCGATCAGCACCAGCTACAGTTATTCCAGAAGTATCAATTTCACTAGCTTCAAGTGCAAGTCTATCCATATCAAGTTCCCTATATTCAACTTTCTCTTCAGCCTCATCTTCTTCACGGACATAACTAGATATTGCTTCGTCTCCATCATCAATACCTAAAAATAGTTTAAAAGTAAATTATATATATGTTTATAAGTAAATATACATATATATATATATATACTAAAACTATAAAATATGTAGCAGATGAAACAAAGACAACAACAAAACCATACCATCTCCAGCTGCAAGCTCCGGATTAAAGTAAAACATTTCTCTGCCAGATATACCGACTTGGCGGCCAGCTTTATAATCATTCCGTCTTTTTTCTTCATCTTTCAGTGCCTGTTCTTTCTTTTCTTTTAATTTCCTCTTTTTCCATGCCAAGAATGTTTCTAATGTTATTTTCGTCTATCAAAATATATTGAATAAGTTATTGTACACTTTGAGAAAATATAATATAATATTTTTATATAAGATTAATTAAAGTATGTTCCTACTTGATTTGGTCCCAAATTGGCTCGCTCTGTTTCGATTAAGTCTTCTAAGGAGATTTCATCTTTTTTATCTTCCTTCTTTTTATCTTTTTTAAGAACAAAACCAGGTGGTAATGCATGCCTATAGATACATTTTTGTCCCGACGGGCATTCCCAAAACCAACCATATTTTGATTTTTCAACCGCTTCTAGAAAATGTTTACAAATCTGAAATTAAGGAAGTATGATTTATTCTCTTTTTCTGAAAATAATTAAACATTAAAATATTATGAAACTGTACTTACAATATCTGTAGTTGGACGATTACCACTGCCATGCTTTTTCTCAACAACTTCTTTTAATTTGTCTTCATCCCATTTATCCATTGTATCAGTTTCTTTATCATCATCTCTCATATCACAGTATAACGAACGTTTTTCTGCTTTCCTTTCTACACTTAAATCGTGAGAAAATTTACATTTATCACCTTTCGTACATTGTCCTTGTTTAAAGAATGCACATACTACCGATTTAGGATCAGTTCCTATAAAAAGAAAGTTAAATAATTATTATTTTAAATTATTATTATTAGTTTTTTTGTATCTATCCATAATGAAACAAAAATAACAATAACAATAGAATTACACTTTATACTAATATGATATGTTCAAATAATATGTTCAAACAATCATGAATATCTTTAACTAGATGATGCAGTAACCTTACTCAGTTAATACCTTTATCTATTTTTTGTGTTTGCACAGGTTTAAATATGAGAGCTAATTCTTTCTGCTCCTTTAATTTTTTTTCTTTTTCAAGCTTTTTAATATTAGGATCTTCTAATTTCCGTGGATTAACACCACCTGATTTTACCTGCTTCTCTACTTGTTGAATAAATTTTTGTTGTTTGGCACCTTTCTTGTTCTTTATACCAAAAGTCTTATCCTAAAAAAAAGAATCACTTTCGAGTGAAAAATAATAAATCTCTCGGTAAATATGCATGTTCAAAATAATGAATATGATATTTTAAGGTTATAAATGTTCGTACTTAAATACCTCGATAACTTTCTCTTTTTTCTTCTGCTCCGCCTTTTTACTGGGAGCAGGTGCCTTTTTAGGTGGCATTTCATTCACTTTCCAGTATTTACAGATGTCAAATACAGGAAATCTAATAACAGAAGTTATAAATGAACAGGAATTTACTTCCGACCATGGAACAATTCATATACATATGTGATAGTAAAAAGATGGACCATGAAGTACACATTCTGTATAAGAGAGCATGAACAATAGTAGTTTATATTATACTGTTTTATTCAATAAATTCTTTTATTTATATAAATCTATTCATATATTTTAATCTAGAAATATACCTTTTAATCTCGAAATTCGATTTTGTCAATAATAATTATAGTACATTATTATTTAATGATTATTTATAAAAATAAAGGATTTACACAGATAAAAAATATTTGTCTTTTAAGCTGTTTATCAAAGTATCTAAGATAGAGATTTATACAATAAAAAATAATGATTTTTGATGATATTTCATTATACTATGTATTGTATATATGTATATATATTGATAGTTCATATCATAATAAAATTTCATTATAAAATCGTGTCAAAAGTATTTCTATTAATTCTACAAATATTTTATTGTATTTGATTTTACTTATCTTTTGTACGTTTCATAGTGAGCACTTTATAACATAAATTAATGTTCAAATGGAATATTTATTGTAATATTTTTTTATTTATCTTTTCAACGTTAATACAATTACATATTATATTAATATAAAATAATTAAAAATGTTTCATATGTTACATATTAAACATCATTCGGAAAATGATACAACTAAAATTCATCTGCTTCGATAGAAACTTTCCGTTCAATCAATTCTATGTTCTCTGACGTTAACGTGGAGCGTGGTCAGCTCCCTTTTACCTGTAGATTAGTTAGGATTGCTATTATTCGGTATTTCTTAGGAAACGAAATGGCGAAATTCGACTTGACATCGCGTATAGGTCAATATCTCGATCGGCATTTAGTATTTCCACTTTTGGAATTCTTATCTGCAAAACAGGTATATAATAAAAAGGGAAAACATTTCTGCTTCGGACAGTTTGGTTATGATGTACTTGTGCTTTTTTAGATTTACGATGAGGACGAGTTACTTCAAGCTAAGCTCGATATTCTTAGTAAAACAAACATGATAGATTATACAATTGACATTCGGAAACAACTCTACCCTAATTTGGAAGTGCCAGAGGTACAAACAAATTTAATGAGTGATGGTATACATATGTTTATGTAAACTTGATTTTAAATCTAATTCCAGGAATTGAAAGCCCGTCGTGCAGATGTACTGCAAGAACTTGGTATTTTACAAAATAACGTGTCCGTTGTTGTACAACTTATGAATAATGAAGAAGTCATGAAAAAGATGGAAAATATGCGAGATTCTAAAGCATTAAATAATTACCTTACTCAAGAATCTGAGGTAAATGAAATGAGATTAAATATAATGCTAATTTTTATATAAATACGTTTAATTAAGCAATATTTATTATTAATATAACAAATTAATATGGAGAGTAGTAAAAAAAAAATATGTTTCAAACATGCTGTACATATTAAGTAATATCTATAATTATTATTATAGATATTATAGATGATTAGAGTGTAGGAATTGTTTACATTAATGATACAGATTTTTGAAATTATATTAATTTTTATATATTATATTTTTATAGTTCAGAGTGGAAATGATGGACAGTTTTGTGAAACTAGCAAAATACCGTTATGAATGTGGCAATTATTCTGTTTCTACATCGTATTTATATTTCTACATGCTTATAATGCCACCAACAGATAAGGTGTTAATACTATAAGTTTGATAAGTATATAATAAATTGACTTATAAGATTAATTTATTTTTAAAATAATAAAGAATGTATAATTTTTAGAATTATTTAAATGTACTTTGGGGTAAATTAGCATCAGAAATTCTAGTGCAAAATTGGGAAACCGCACTGGAAGATGTAAACAAATTAAGGGAATACATTGATAGCAATGTCATAGGAAACTCTCTTCAAGTATTACAACAAAGGACATGGCTTATTCATTGGAGTTTGTTTGTATTTTTTAATCATGTGAAAGGCAGAGATTTAATCGTAGAAATGTTTCTCTATAGACCACAGTATGTCAATATTTTTATTAGTATTAAGATAATGTTAAGTATGACAAAATTTTAAGATTATGCTTTTATTATTTTACAGCTATCTAAATGCAATTCAAACAATGTGTCCTCATATATTGAGATATTTAGCAGCTGCTGTCATTGTCAATCGTTCTAGACGATCTATATTAAAAGATCTTGTAAAAGTAATACAGCAAGTTCGTTATCAATTTCTTATTAAAATATTTACAAGTTATGTATATAAGATTTATTAATTACTCCTTTCTCTTTATTATTTATAGGAATCTTATACATACCGTGATCCCATTACAGAATTTCTAGAACATTTATATGTCAATTTTGATTTTGATGGGGCAAGACAAAAGCTACAAGAATGTCAAACAGTTGTATTTAATGACTTTTTCTTAATTGCGTTGCTGACTGAATTCGTAGAAAATGCGCGTTTAATGATCTTTGAAACATTCTGTAGAATACATCAATGTATAAGTATTGGGTATATAACAATTTTATATTTTTAATGTACATAAACAATGGAATATGTTTTCATATTTCCTTAAAATGTTTTTATATTGCAGAATGCTTGCAGAAAAACTTAATATGAAGGCAGATGTAGCAGAATGTTGGATTGTTAATCTAATCCGTAATGCACGACTAGATGCCAAAATAGATAGCAAATTAGGACACGTTGTAATGGGTGGGCAACCTGCGTCCCCATATCAACAACTGGTTGAGAAAATTGAAACTTTAAGTGTCCGTAGTGAAGCATTAGAAAATTTAATTGAACGGAAACTAAAAGCTAAAAATCAAGACCCTGTAAGTATAGTGTGGAACTAACTAAGGTCAGTATCATTCACAATCATTTTTCATGCATCAGTATTTTTTTCCCCTCTTTTCAGTCACCCGATTAACTCAAACTGATTAAGATTCTGTCCATCAAGATATCACACTTTACATAAAAAATTTATCTAAATATTACTCATTTTTTTACTAAATTTTTTTAACTATTACACGATTATTTTTTCGCCAATTACATCATTATATAATATACATTTCATTTTTGTACAATGAGAATAAAAGGAGAGTCATTATACTATTATTTGTTCATTGATTTTTTTTTTCAAATTAAACTATTACACTATGAATTATGAATTATGAACTGTAATTGATTCGTATCTTATACAATATCCAAGGTATTATCCATTCATCAAATCATTCACATATGCATAGATCAACAGCACAAAGATTTTCTTCTAAATCTAATTCATTTTTCTTGTCTTGTACACATTATAGCAAAGTGCTTTATTTTTTACAGTATCAAACTTCATGGAACCTGGACTTATGACATCACGATGCAATATGCAGAGACGTTGTCTAAAAAGATGTTTAATTCATCTCGCTATAAGTGACTTATCTCGAAGTGAAATAATTCAATTCTATGTACGTAAACTGAAGCAGAGCTCTATTACAAAACAGATATATTTTTATTCATACATTTTTGTAAAGAGAATTAAATTGAATGAATAAAAATATATTTGTAAAAACATTGTATAAATATACGTGTGTATATTACAAAAACTATTGTACTTTTTATAATATGTATTGACACATTTCATTATAAGAAATGTATTAAAAAGAAGTATAATCCAATTTTTTTTTTCATTCCAAGTAATTGAAAAATTCTTATCTAACTTGAAAAATAAATATATTATTCATATCACACCACATCATGATCTGAAGAAATTAAAAATCAAACTTATAAAAATAAATCGAAATTAAAAACTCATTTTAAAAAAGCTGAATGTTATAGATAGGTATTTTATATTAAAAATTTCTATTGATTTGTATAAAAATATAAATTTTCAACGTATATTTTAGTGATATTAACAATATCATTTATTTCTTCATAAAAACATATATGGACGTAAAATAGTGTATATTAAAAAAAATGTAATTTTATAATTTAATAACAAATATTTCGATAAATATAAAAAAGATTTCATTAATGAACAATTGTCATGTGAATCATCGTGAATTATTAATCTTATCACTGGCAAAAGAATCATTTGCTTCTATACAAGAATTTTCTATATCAGGAATACCAAAATTACATCCGGTATAAGAATCTTGATTGATGCAGTATATTAAAACACTTCTCCAGTAAGGATCTTGGACTAGAAGAGCAGGATTTCCTAAAATAATAACTAAAGCACGACCTCGAGTAATTGCAACATTAAGTCTTCGAGGACATGCAACAAATCCAAGAGAATGTTTAATATCTTCATTTATAAAATTGGATGAAGATCGCACAGTTGAAATAATAATGACATTACGTTCTTGACCTTGAAATCCTTCAACACTACTAATTTTTGGTAATTCCACATCTAATTCCATAAGTAATTCACGAATTTGAAGAACCTGTTAAATACTTAATATAATATAAAATAATTTCATAAATAAAAAATTATATTTAATTATTTTACCTGTTTTTGATAAGGAGTTATAATTCCAATATCATCAGGTGAAAGACCACATTTATATAATTTTAGTAAATAAAGATATACTTGAGTTGCTTCTTCGGGATTATACCAACTAGGACTATCATTATCTTTACAATTTTCCCCATTTACACCATGAAAAATTATAGCTGGTGGAGTATCCTTTCTCTTTGGTAATTCCGTAGCTAATGTTTGTAAAAGTTTGGCTTCTTTGCTTGTTTTAGAAGATATCTAAAAACATTTTTTTTTTATTATCATTATATATATAAGTATAAAAAATTAGTTGTTAGTAACATAAATAAATATACCTGTGCTTTCAATTCAGAATCATAGAATAATGAACTTGATAATTCAAGTATTTCTGGTAAACTTCGATAATTTATAAGAAGCTTTGTAACGAGTCGAGGATCATAACATGTTTTAAAGCCATTAGAATCTTTCTGGTAAGGAAAATGACGTAGCAATCTTGATAAAAATGATTCGTCTAAACCAAAATTCTTTGCTATACCACTTTCTACAACTGGACCGAGTTGTAGTGGATCGCCTGAAAGAATTACTTGCCCATAATCAGAATGAATAAAATTGAGCGGAATCATAATTTCTGGTTCGGTCGCTTGACCAGCCTCATCAACTAGTATATGTGAAAAATGTCCACGAGGAAAGCCCATATTATTTAATATTCCGAGTGCAACACAAGTACCAATCGTAATTCTATGACGTCCAAGTACACTCATAGTACAATTCAACTTTGGTCCTACTTCATTATATTTTAATTTTTCAATTGTTGTTTCATCTGCTAATTCTGCAGTAGCACAATATGGCAATAATTTACTGGGTATAGAATCATTCAAACAGTGATAAGCTATAAGTCGTACCTAAAAAAAAAAAGAAATATTTAAATTATATTATAATATATATTTATATATTTATAATCTATATTTTTATTATAATAAAATTATATAATAGAATTAATATAAGATAGTTGCTTAAAATGAAAAAATGATAAAGTAAAGTCCATTTTAATTATTTTTAAACATATTCATTTTTAAACGTGAAACTTTTATTCTATTATTATTGTTTACTAAAAATTTCGATGAAATCCATATTAAATTATTATAAAGTGAGATTATATAAATTTAGTATGTACCATGTCACCAGGTTTAAGTATACCACTATCTAGAAGTCTTTCTGATATAAGATTTGCTGAGCTATTAGATGGTGTAGCAATTAATAAACGACTTTCAGGTATAGTTGATAAAATTTGCAGAACTGTTTCACAAAGAGTAACAGTTTTTCCTGTACCAGGTGGTCCAAATATTACATAAGGTAATGGTCGTGCATGTCCTTTTAAAATGTTTTTTACAGCTTCCTTTTGATAATAATTTAAATCTTTATTAAACCAAAGCAACTTTCGTTTTCGTACTTGTGAAATAACTGGTTGCAGTTCGATATTACAGGAAGAAGTTGATGTTTCTTTCGAATCTTGTATTACTGTATTTGTTAAATTTTTAATAATATTTATTTCATTCTTTGTTTCAATATATGACCCGTCTTTTGCATTAGGTTTTATTGTAATTTCTCTATTTTTCTCAATAGGTTCAACATTAAATAATCGTTGTACAACTGACATTTTTGTAAATGACTTTGACATATTAGATTTATTACTTATAGATGTGCTAGCAGAAGATTCCGGTGATATAGAATCAGTCCACTGGTGAGTTAATTGTTTATAAATTGACGTATCTTTTGCTTCAACTTCTTCAAGCTCTAATTGAGATTCCTTCTCAATTACATGAATAGGAAACAAAAAATTCTGAGCCAGACGATCTACAGTCATATCAATTGCATTATGACAACGTTGTATGACTGATTGTGAACATTTAAATGTTACTTGACAATCTTCATAATTATATTCTTGATGAAATTTGCAATTGAATTTCAAAAAAATTTCCAAGTTTGTTACTTTATGAATAAATCCTTCATATTTTAATTTTCCTATTTCAAACATTTCTTAATAATTAATAATTTAAAATACTTTTTTAAAATGTGTATAATTATTTATTAATATAAATATAAAATTATAGCATAAAATTTTATAATATAATTTTTTTAATTTTACAACATACCTTGAGAATTATCCCATTTGAAAGATACTATAGCCCTATCACCAATAAGGAGAGAGGGACGTTTCTCTGCAAGTCCTGGTACTTCCATAACTAAATATTCACCACAATGTCTCATAATTATGCTATTTATATTATATTGTTGCATATTTATTATTTGAGCAATTTCTTCTAAGTATAATAAAGCGTGAAATCGATCTTTGTACAACTCAAAAGAAAGTCTCTTTGATAAACAAGGTACAGCATTTTCTATATCATATTTACACTCAGTTTGAGATTTTTTTTCATTTATGGATTTTGATATTATATCCCAATAATGTTTAGGAACTTTGTATACCATATTTCGTACTTTAATAAATGATGGTGGTCTACATGGACGAATTCCTGGAATGTATGTAGCTTCATTCCATTCATCCAAGTCTAGTACATAATTAGTTTTAGTATTATTACTTTTATAATACGATTTTTTTTGTATAATTTTAGGTTTGACAGTAATATTAAAAATTCGTCCAATTTCGAAGTTTTTGAAATGAAAAATAAATAATTCCTTGCTTGTACCAATAAATTTTGCTGTACATTTAAATACATAAGTTAATTTATCAGAAGGATTTAATATGGAAACTGTAGGAGCACTTGGTTCTATTAATATTAGCTGAGAATTGTTTTTTTTTATCATGAAACAACTTCTGCGCAATACATGAGTAATATTACTTAAATTGTCTATAGTAATTGTTATATTTTTTTCTTCTTGCACATTTAAATCAATGTTTAAATCATCACTTATAACAATACCATGCTTATTTTTCACAAGATCGTTTAAATCTTTTTTTGATGCATATGAAATATTATGCAATATTGGTAGCTTAGCTTCTTTAGAGACCTAAAAAACATTAATTTACTTTGAATAAAATTACATTAATTTTGACTTTTTACACAATTTAATTTGTTACACCATAAAAATATTTTTCAAATTAATTTTTTAAATTATATAATTATACAATTACATAATTATAAATTATAATTTATATAATTACATACAAATATAATCACAAATACAAAATAATAACTTATTATTATTAAAAATATTTTAGAAGAAATTTATCAAAATATTTGATGATTTATATACTATATTATACAATTATATTTTAGAAATGTCATTAACCTACTAAGGACCAAACAATTATCACAATATAATAAATATTTTAATATCTTTAAATTATACAATTTGTATGAAAATATTGTTAATTTTAAAATTGATTATAAAATAATTGTCTTTTTATTTAAGTAAAACTTACCTGAATCACTGGAACCACTGTTAATGATCTCCATGTATAAAATCCTTGATCACTTTCGATACTGTCATTTATTACTTTATCGCCAACGCAAGGAATGTAACCAGACTCACATATCCTCTTATTAAATACAGTGTCTTTTCCAATAACACCAACTTCTTTAGTTAGATCAAAACTAGTTACAGTTCCAACATTTAATCTAGATCGTAGGGGCTGTATTTTTTTTATCTCTAAAATTTCTCCATTTAGATTATAAGAAACTTCGTCAATCTCGACTTCTGTTTCTAATTGTAACCAGTCTCCGATCACAGGAATAAACTCAGATTCTACTTTGTTTAAGTCAACAGTGATATTGTTAGGTTCTATAATTAACAGTCGATTTTTACGTTCTATAACTTTTCCAACTATACATCTTGTTAATGTTTGAGGTTCAACAATATCTACCTCAGAATTTTTCGCTTCATTGTCCCACGATTCGTTTATCACAGAAATAATTTTTATTTTGTGTTTTTCCTCGTGATTGTCTTGCTCCAGTAAAAACGAGTAACGGACTCTGTCACCTATTTTTAAGTTACTTTTTAAGTTACTTACTGAAATGTTTGCTACATTGCAAACATAAAACTCATCAACCACTAAATAATCCGTAGCGATTAAAGTAATAGTTCCTGTTTTATAATAACTTGCATCTTCATTAGAACGTTCATCTCTTCGTATTTCTTCTTCATACGCATTTTCAATACGAGCTATGACACTATTTATTTCGTCTGATTCATTTTTGATGGACGACTTATATCCTGTAGTATATTTTATAAGGGTATGTATAAACGACAACATATTTAGTTTCTATTATTTCTGTCCATGTACCTACGAATATTGGTTTTTATCAGAATTCAAGTAAACATTATGCATACAGACCAAATAATAATTAAAATAATAATACAATAATTAAAATATACCGATCGATTGATTGGTATCTCCACTCTGTCGCTTTAATATAATCCAATTCTTTTCTTAATGACTGAACACGTTTTAAATGCAACTCCCGAAGTAGACGATCCTGCTGCTTTTGCTCCTGCAATTCAGATTTTTTTTGATTCAAGATCTTTGAGGTTTGATTTCCAACAGAGGTTAGTTCTGAATCCTGAGATTCCGAAGCTCTTTGTCCTGGTGAATGGCTCAATGTTCCAGACGACAAAGTCGAGGAATTCATTATTTCATGAATAACGTGTTACGAACGTTTCGAAATCATGCGCATTGTTTAATAACCTTTTGTTGAAATGATACTATCCGTTTATAATAAGTATAACACCGTTT